AAGAGGGTAGAGAGGGAAAAGAGGGAACAGTATGGAAATGTTCTGGAATATTTTTCTGTGGGCCAGAGACTTGTTCTTTTTCATTGATAATTGTTTTTAAATTGATTGATCAATTAAATCAAAACAAAGTTACATTTCCCCAAGTCTTCAATATGGAAACTGTTGTGTCCGCTGACCACCACAGGGGGCCAGCGCGCACTTCTGAGCTTGAGTCCTGGACAACAATGGGGACTGGGATCCTGGTCCCTCCACTGGGGAACCAATGGGACCGTGGCGGGAGATTTAAACCCGCCAATGGGACCCAGGGGTGTGTCCCCGGGAAGTGTATATAGTTGGCCAGCCGGCCGTTGTTTGGGGTCTTTGTTGTGTACCAGTAAAGCTAAACCGATAACTGCATCAGTCTCCATGCTTTCTTCATGCGTCTAACCCACTACACTTCAGAAACCTTTCTGAGATAATGAATGAGGAGCAAGCACCTACAATTTAGTAAGTCAAAGCTACATCTGGTTGTCGGGCCATCTTTAGGAACCTGCACTTACCGTCTCTGCCGAGGTCACTGAGCAACACCCTTTGCCAGCAGTCGAGGGAGGAGAAGCCCTCCATTTCGTAGTGAATTATCACAAGCCTTACCAGGGTCTTATTTTTACTATAATGCCACTGTGTTTATTAGGTGTAATTGTTTTGCCCACCAGCTGCCTTAAGTAGAAACGCAGGATATAAATCTTATCATTTATTTGCATGGATGTATTATTATTTCTTTATCCCATCCTTCTTGCAAAGAGTTTAAGGCAGCTTGTTGTTCCCCAATCCTTAATCAAACCCTTTTAAACTGAGAGGTGCCAATTAGTCCAAGGCTCTTGACAATTAATCAACTAGAACTTCGCAGCTGATTATTCTGCCCATGAAAGTCATTTAGAGCTTGCAGTCTCAATTTTTTAAAAAGGAATCCTAGGTTCTCAAGTTGACAAATTTTATACTACAGCAAAAATGGAGGAGGGAGTACGTGTCCACGCAAATTCTACACACCCATTAGAGACTCACTAACTGAATTCCTAGAGTTTGAAAGTACAGAAGTTATGAATTTTGTACATTCCAGGGCAAATCAGAAAAGCTGTGAAAGTAGAGCATATGATGGATGATTTATGTGTTTGAGCCGCGTCAAGCTTCATGCTGAAGCCAGGGTTGCAATTATTCTCATTTTCAACGCTCTTTGCAATTGCATTTAGTCTCCAAATACAACATAATTACCATGTAGAGGGTAAGCGAGTTGTCTGTGACTTTTGGAAAGGACCAAATTGCTGTTGACTCTGCCCAAGAAAACCATTCTTAAATTGCTTGTTTGAATTTGGCACTGCCCTCGCAACATTTTTCCCCTTCTTCACAGAGCCAAAGCATCGTAATTTCCACTCTTCCGCAAGAAAACGTTTTTGCACATATACAGTATCAGCCGTGAGCCAACCTCAGGAGTTCAGGCCATTTTTGCCTGGCCTGACCGCACCTCCAATAATGAAGGCAAACTTCCCTATGTGGCTTTTCTTGGGTTTAGCAGAGTTTGATATGGCCTTCGTCATATGAGTATATCATAAAGGCCAACCCGACACTTAAGAACATAAGACCATAACAGAAGCCAATGTTGGATCAGCCAATGGCCCATCCAGTTCAACACTGTCACACAGTGGCGAAAAATACCAAGTGCCCTCACGACACCAGTGGGGCCAGGACACTAGGAGCCCTCCCACTGGTGCCCCCCCCCAAGCACCAAGAATACAGAGCATCACATGCCCCAGACCAAGATTTCCTATCTATACCTAGTGGCTAATAGCCACTGATGGACCTCTGCTCCATATGTTTATCTAATTCCCTCTTGAAGCCATCCATGCTTGTTAGCCGCCATCACCTCCTGTGGCAGTGACAAGCAAGGAAACTTCAGAGGTCATATAACGGAGGGAAATGCCATATGAACCTACCCATCCTCTACAATCATCCTCTGAGACCCTGCTTCAGATGCCTTTACTTTCTGAGTTTAGGCAGATGACAACTAAAGAGAGAGCCTCCTTGGTTCTGTCACTGAAATCGTGGAACTCAAGCAGTGCACGAGTGGCCGCTCATGAACACAGGAAGCCCCGCTCAGCAGCAATCTGGAGCCGTGCAAGGTCTTGCAATGCCCCCTGCCTATTTTAAGATGACAACAGTTATATTCTGCTCAAGATCTGAACTGCTCCACTCGGGGGGGGGGGGAGGGGCTGTTCTCAACATTTTCTCTGTTTGTCATGTGTCGTTCCCATGTTCTGATCTATGCATGCCCCCAAATGAGTGTCAGGTTCCACAGCCAACAACTGAGTACACGCTTATCAGAAAGGTTATACTTTATTGAAGAGCTATAGATGCATTAACAAAGGCACCGTTAAGTGTTAAGAATGGCGTCGCCTCTACAAGCATAATGGGATATAGGGTATTCGTATGCACACACACACCCTTCCTTGGGCCAATTAGCCATATTCCTGCGAACGGGAGAAGGAGCCCCAGGCCGTTAGAGCCAAAAGCTGGGAACTGACAGCGCTCCCACAGTTCCCTCACTCCCAGACACCACACCACCTGCACGGCTATAGATAAGCAAGCATTACAGCAGTGAAGAAGCACAGAAGGAATGCAGCAGTACTTTGTACACAGGTCACTGAAACATCTGACCACTCCCGCTACCATGGCAGCATAGCTGACATTCTGCCCTCTCAAAAATCGAGTCTCCCGGTCATTCCGGGAGTTCTCCCAGTTTGTCCGGGAAGTCACTATGGAACTTCCGCAACAACTGAGGGGCCCGAATATCCCCTACTTCCACCCACTCGAGGTGCTGGGGTCTGAAATCTAGCCATTCAACAAAATACAACAATTTTCCACGTTTAAATCTTAGAAATCTCATAATGTTCCTTGCCCTCAATCAAGATAGGAGGGGACACCAGTTTCGATGGACGCCAAGGACTGGAACCAGAATCCCGTTTCAGGAGGCTGAAATGAAACACAGAATGCAGTTTCCTCAAGTTTTTAGGTAGATCTAAGTCCACAGCTACATCATTGATTACTCTTTTCACCTTGAAAGGACCAAGGTATTTCCAACCCAGTTTTCGGCTAGGGCGCAAAACCTGAATGTTTTTTGTAGACACATAGACGGAGTCCCCAGGCTGCAGAGCCCATCCCTCCACCCTTCTCTTGTCAGCCTGAGTCTTGTACGCCTCCTTGGCTGCATTCAAAGTCTTGCAAAGGAGCGGCTGTGCGATCCCTCACAGCTATTAAGTCCAATACACGTTTAGGCAAAGTAGTATTTTATTAAAGCCATGTTAGAGCAGGAACAAGTGCACTGTTGAGAATACCTGAGACGGGCTTAGCAGGGGGATAATGAAAGACATTCAAACCGTTAATAACCAATAGACTTGGTTCCCGTCACGTGGGCAGACTTTCGTATTCGCGCCCAAAAGCCTGAGAAGCAACGGTTCTATAAAGATAAACAATTAAAGCTTCACACAGTCCAGCACATTATAGTCTAAGCAAAGCGGCTCCTTCTCCACACCTGTTAATCTTGCAGATAAGCGTACACTAGTGTTCATAGAATGGAATGCATTACAGAGGGATACACACAGGGCACACAGTAGGCATGCGCAGATGCCATAGGAGGGGGGGGTTCCCCGTCCACAGAGTTCAATGGCAGCTAGCTGACAGCGGCCAAGACTCCTTTAACCATTGACACCGTTGAGCAGCATCCCCCCCCCCCAAGTCAATATCCCCTTCCAGGAAAGGCACCGGCGGTCATAACCATACAAAGCTTTAAATGGCGACACAGCTGCAGGGCTTCCTAGATGACACTTCCGTCCTCGACCCATTCCAGTCCGGCTTTCGACCTGGGCATGGAACGGAGACTGTACTGGTTGCCCTTACTGACGACCTCCGTAGACATCTGGATCGAGGCGGTGTGGCGGCACTGTTGTTGCTCGACTTGTCGGCCGCATTTGATACGGTTGACCATCAGTTGCTTACCCACCGTCTTGCCGACGTGGGGATTCAGGGGCTCGCTCTTCAATGGCTTGTCTCTTTCCTCCAAGGTCGGGGACAGAGGGTGGAATTAGGGGAGCAGCGGTCCCGGAGGCACCTGCTTGAATGCGGTGTGCCTCAGGGGGCAGTTCTCTCCCCGATGCTAT